GATCACTCTACTCAAGGACAGCACAGGAACAGGGTCCCCAGGAGTGGAAGATCCCCCACTGTCAGAACCAGGAACGCTGGGCCCCGGTAACCAAGGCTGGTACCCACCCAGCCATTACCACAGAGCTTCGGCGAGCCCAGCACTCACCTCCAGCTGCTGCCAGCACCATGCGAGGGGCCTTGTAATGCCTGCTGAGGTACTCGGTCAGGTCTGCACGAGACAGCTTCCTGCAAGACATACGGCCAATGGCTCAATGCCTCTCCCAAACCACAGTGGTCTGGGCCCCACAAAACAGTGCTGAGGAGAAAGACAAGGAGGGACGTGGCTTTTCCGGGGTGCAAGCCCTAGCACACCCCTCAATCCCCTTCCCCATCTCTGCCACCCAGCCCTCTGGGCCCCACCTCACGTCTGCACTCAGGACAGGCTCAGTCCTTCCTCTCCGAGGAGGCTGTGAGCTGATGAGGTGAGGCTCTCAAGAGGCGGCGTCAGAGCTCGTCCCACCAGAGGACGAAGAGCCACGCAGATAGGATCCCCAACGCTCCCTCCCTCAGGTTGTCAGGACACACATAAAATCATACCCTACAAGGAGGCCCGCAACGCGAGTGAAGACCACATGGGCATTCAAAAAGATCCCCAGGAACCATGTGGTGACAGAGAAAACGTTTTCAGTTGTGCAAATTAAGAACATATAATAGCACAGGCCAACTAAAAACAAACGGGTGGACGGGGCTTGAGCGCAGGCCAGCACGGGCCCAGCCAACCCTCACCTGACATTCCCGCTGGGCCCCTCCACAGCCTGGGCTAGAGGTGTGCCCTGGAACGCCGTGGCATGCAGGTAGTCAAAGACCACGTCCCGCATACACGCATCGTTCTCCTGCAGCTCCTGGAGGATCACATCACGCTCCTTCTCAATCTGGGAGTCTTCTAGGCTGCAGTTCTGCACAATGTCCGCCAGGAGCTCCACAGCTGGATGCAAGAAGGGCAGGTGTGGGCACGAGGTGGGCTACTGCAGGCCAGTACCGGCACAAACTGCCCGGGTCTGGCACGCCTGGTTGCCCTACTACAAGAGGATGCTGTCACGGTAACCCCACTCTTCAGCCAAGCCAAGCTCCTGGGGGCCTGTCCTCTGCACCCCTGAAGTCCTATACCCTTGTCCCTGCCCCCTCCTCCAGGCGTTACCTTTTGGCAGGTCCTTGGAGAGCGCCTTGATGTAGTAAGCTGTGTGCTCCCGAGTGCTATAGGCATTGAGATGGGCTCCCATGCTCTCCACCTCCTTCTCCAAGGCATTGCCAGGCCGATTTTTTGTTCCCTTGAACCAGGTATCAATAGGATCAATCAGGAGCCACACAGGAGCTCAGGACCCCCATCTTCAAAGGCCAAAGTCCCAGCAGGATCATTGGTCCACAGGCACCTCCTTCAGCAAAGACTATGGGGATAGAGGGCCTACAATCTGTGCTCACCAAGGGCTGAGCAGGCCACAGTACCACAGGCTGACAGAACGGAGACAGCCGGGGGCAAGGAGAGAAAAGGCATGGCCAGAGCAATCCAGAGCCCCAGAGTAGCCTGGCCATAGCAGCACTCTCTGTCCCCTTGCGGTCAGTCATGGTCAGGTTAGGTCACATCAATGTGCAGGTGATGCTGCCATGACCTACTCTAGCCCCATGCCAGTCACATGACTGTGTGTGTGCTCGTGGACACCTCTGTGCGGCTGCTGCTGGCTAGACTACCCACCCCGTCCTGCTCCACACCCCCACCCCTCCATAGCTCCTCCTCCAGTTTTTCATTCATTCAAAAACTCGCGACTTCATGCCAACACGGGCTGGCGCTCCGCCCCCGCAAGAAAGCTCAGTATTTACTTCTACAAACAAGAGATGCCTGGGTATTCTGCCAGAGGAGAACATTTCACAAGAAGGCAGGCCAGCCCAAGTCTATGAATTTGTTAAAATGCACGTGTCGATCAACGTGTCTCACACTTCCACGCCAATGCGCACATATAACACAGGACTGGCCTCTCTGGTGAGGAGTGGGGTCCTGCAGATCCCTGCATTTTTTTCTGGCTCTGGGGGCCTTATGCGGGGGTGATCAGATAGGTGCTCACTCAGGAGAGGCTAAGCCCATGTGGTTCTTTCCAGAAAAGCCAGCCAGAGAGTGCCCCCCAGCTGAAGCCCATAATTGAGGAGGTTGACTTTGCTAACCTGCATCCTCAGGAGGGACAGAGGCAGCCCTAACCCCAGGGGAGATTCAGGACTTCAGGAGCCTCACCTTGAAAGCCAGATGCTCCAAAAAGTAACCTGCCCCATTGTTCTTCTCAGTCTCATAACGGCTGCCAACGTCAATCCACACCCCGACCTGGACAAGAAGCCATAGACAAAGGTAACACACAAACCACCCCAGCCCCCACTTACACCCTACCCTGGATGACTCAACAGAAGCCCCAGATAGGGGGTCACGGTCCCAGGGTGGGGGAGAACGGTCTCAGCAGGACCCCTATGCTGGGAGCTACAGCTGTGCCCTGGGCACAGGCACTGGCTGAAAGACATACTGTGTCACCTCTCCTTCCCACTCTATTTATGGACTGGTTCCCAAGGAAGTTTCTAACTGTGCACACTCACCTAACCCCATTACCATATGAAACTCTTATATTCTGTTCTCACTTTTCAGTTGATTGTTTTTTCTAGGCAAGTAACACATCGTTTGCAAACAACAACTTATTTTCTCCTTTCTAAAAATTATACCCTGCCTCTGTTCTGGTGATTTTGTCTTTCACCATTAAGGAAGGAGGCAAAGGTTTAGACACTGATCGTTTTATCTTATTAAGCAAGGAACCTTCATTCACAATTATTTAAAAAAAAAAGTTTTTAATCAGACTCGAATACTTAACACTGCCAAGTGTCTCCTTGACACCCAATGAGAGAATCTCATAATTTCCTCAACAGCCTCCTGGTGTGCCATGAAACACATCACCCCACACAAGTCACACAGATCTAGTCTTTTAATATTTGCTCACAGCTGATTTAAAATTTTCACATCTACTTACCCAAGAGATGTTGATATACATACTATATATCAAAAGTTCTTACACTAGTAACTGTTTCACAACTAACATCTCAGAAACAAAAATTAATCTTACAACCCATGGTAGCTTTTGGTTATCATCGACAGCATTCTATCTCTGGCACTAAAGCACAGTGGTGCCCCTTACAATCTAGAGCATTTCCAGAGTCCATGAAATATAGCATTCTCTCCCAAACTTTCTTAACAGGCTTTGGGTCAGTTTATATAAGTACCATGTAACACAGAAGTTACCCATGATCTTTTACTGTGTTTAGTAACAACTTGTATCAAAGGACATTATTTGTTCCTGGAAAACTGAAAGAATTTACCAATAAAACCACTTAGCCCTGCAGTTTAGGGGAAAGAGGATTACGTCTTGAGAATCTTCTCACCTAGTATCTAGCCAAGATTTCTCTCCTTAAGTCAATTTTGAGGATTTGTGTTTTTTAAAATCATGCTTCTTTGGAATCTTCAAATGCATTCCTCATGCAAGTGCATAAGCGGTCTAGCCAGAGGACATTATGACTTTGGGCACCTTACGTCTCTGAAACCATTTTCCTCATGGTAAAATGAAAAAAGGATCACTTCTCTCATATGGGCTGCTTAAGAAAACGCTGCAAAGAACTTGGCCTCCTGCTTGTCAGGCATCATATGCTAAATGTGTTAGTTATAGTGAGGAATGCCCCACGACGTCAGGCCTAGCTGGGGTCGGGATTAAAGTAGTAGAGTCAATCCAGCGGTGAGTGAGAAGTCCGACCCAAACCACAGAGGACTGGAGCCCAAGGTCACACCCTGACCTGGTAAAAGACGCCAGGCGCAATATGGAGGCGGCCTCCCGAGAGGGGCCCCCGCTCACCGTGCAGGTAGGCTGGGAGGACTGCTCGGAGGCCACTCGCAGCCCGTTGTCCAGCACGCTGACCTGTGTCTCTGGCACGCTCTGAAGAGCTTGGGCGAAGGTGGCGGTGCTCCGCAAGGGAGGCGACCTCAGCAGGGCCGGCTGCTGAAAAGGGACGACCGAGACTGAGGGCTAGGTTGCGGGATCTCTCCTCGGCTCCCAGGCCAGCAGTGGGATCCCCGTCGCCGCCCCCCGGACAGCCGCGAGACTCCCATCCCCGCTCAGCGCCGTGACCTTCGCACGGCCCTGACCCCACAACCTCCCCAATCTCGACCCTCCCCCGCTAGCAGTCCGCTCCCCGTCCGCGTGCCGAAGCCCCGCGCTCCACGGCCTTGCACTGTCCGCTGTCGCCTCACCGAGCGGCGGGCGCTCAGCAGCACTCTCGTTCCGGTCCCGGCCGCCCGGCAAACTGCGGAAGCCGCCATGTTGTAGCTCCGGTCGGCGCTGGGTCGCGCCACGCAAGCGTAGAGGGGGACGCGCCCGTCCGAGGCGCAGGCGCACTGCCGCAGACATGGCGCTCGGCCGCCTCCTGGCGGAGACCAGGAGTATTCACGCCCGGCTGGTCCGTGGTTCTGTCCGCGCGTCTACCGGCACCTGCGTGCTTCAGCCCGCCTAGCTGTTCATGGCCAGTGCGGGTCCATCCTCGGCCCAGTCCATCTTTACCTTTCATCCATGGAAGGCAAAGTGCGCGATGTTTTTAACGAACCGCGGGCGCCCCGAATCCACTGCGTGCTCGGAGCTGCCGCGCGGGCCAGGGGCGCAGCAGTTGCGTGTCCGGGGATGGGAGGCCCCGGGCTCAGGCACCAGCGTGGGATGCTGGGACTCCGAGGTAGCTGCTGATCACGGTTTTCTCTTTAAAAGAGTGAAGTAGATTCAGACGGTTGACATCGAAGGAATTTAACAAGATATTGCCGAGAAAAAGGAACGGTTTAAAGACTATTTGGGTGGAGAGAATATGGATTCCGTTTGTTCGTGGTTGACACTGGCACTGTGCGTGTGCACTCATATGCCCTGTGAAACTGAGTTCAAATTCAAAGTCATCGACCTTGAGTCACATTTCGGAGAGGAACGTGAGAGAAGCCTGCTGCTGCTCCCGGTTCCCGACTTCCGTGCGCACTGCACACTGTAGAACAAGGAAAACTCCTAGTCTGGGGTTTGTGAAATAGGTTTCCATGTTTGGAACACAAAACATACACACACAAATAAAACAAAACGATGTGGCTTTTCTAATAGACCCCATAGAAAAAAAATCCGGAGGAACTCCCTCGAAACTTTCAGCCGAGTGACTTCTGGAAAATGGATTGAAGGGAAGGAGGATGTTACCGTATTTACATTTCTGTGTTAATACAGAATTTTTAATTTTTACAAAACAAATGTTACTTTTGAAAGAGCATACCTCTGAACTCTGCTTTTACATGATTTATATGTGATTTATTGCACTTCTATCTTCGTGATCTTTCAAAAAAAGTCATACTTAAAATATAACTCTTATAAAAAGCAGACAGAAGATGCTTAAGTGTGTGTTTATTAATATTTTGTGGTCTAAAATTATATTATGATTTAGACGTGAAAAATAAAAATGAAATAGAATCGTCTAATTAGTCTATCTTTCCACTTTTTTAAAACTTTAGTTTTAAATTTTTTTTTTTTTAATTTATTCATGAAAGTCAGAGAGAGAGAGAGAGGCAGAGGCAGAGGGAGAGAAGCAGGCTCCCCGCCTAGCAGGGAGCCCGATGCGGGACTCAATCCCAGGACCCTGGGATCATGACCTGAGCCGAAGGCAGACGCTTAACCATCTGAG